CTGAGCTGAAGGGGCGCGCTGATTGATATTTGCATGATTCTCATGAATTATGCACCGCTCTCGCTTTAAAAGTCAATCGTGGCGAGTCACGTTGCGCCGCAATTAGTATCCCGCGCGAGCGGAGCGCGGAGAAGCGCCGATGACGGCCAGAAATGCAGTTATCGATCGCCCAACGACGCCGAAACGGCCGAAACCCGTGCGCGGGTTAAGGTTAAATCCCGCACGCGCGTAAGAGAGAGCAGGAAGAAAGAGGGAGGGAGGAAAACCTCGCGCGCGATAACCTTCGACCGCCTTCGGGCGCTGACGCGTCAGCGTACGATCGGTGTCGGAATGCTCTTGAGGGACACTCTTTGTGTTCCGTGTATGATTCTGTAACTTAATTACAAAATTGCAACGCGCACGTGCCATCATATTCTTGTAATAATTGTTCTTCTCCAGGACTTTGTTTTCGAGAGAGACACGAGGTCTGTTCTTCTTGGCTCAGCCAAGGTATTAATCATGAATCTTTTCACGTGAACTGGATTTGGACACTGATCAATCACATAATTTCTTCTCTCCAGTATGAAATCGTGAGTGAACAATTTTGTTGTATTTGGAAACGATTATAAATCTTTTCCTCCAATGTGAACTCGAGAAAAGAGAGTGAGCATTCTCACAAATCTTCAAGTTTCTCACTTTTCACAAGTTTACGGGGGAAAGATTTATGACCTCCTCCCCTCCCCCCCCAGGTTGCACTTTTTTACTTTATAGAGTGAAGTATATATATATAAAATCGAGTATTGCAGGAAGAACAAACTAGCAAGAACAGGCCTACGCGCGACGACGTCACAAATAGATACTCTATTTCTTTTAGCTGAACTTCCTGTAACTAGCTTGTGCTAGATTTCCTTCTAAGTCTGTTTTTGTTTTAGCTAAACTAGTGCTGCACTGGAACTTGGTTCGTTTTCTATCCAACGAAAAAATTGTATACTTATTTCACTCTAAAGACCGTAATGACTTTGAAACTTGGACAGTTTGATAAGCTTTCAACTTCATTGTGTCCAAATCGTCTTAGAGCAGTCCACTGCACGCTAGTTGAGCGAAAAAGAACAGATCTAGCCATGATGCGTTTGCGTGTACAGTCATTTGCGCCGCGAATTGTAGTTTAGGTGACGAGTCACGATTAATAAATAGGCAATTAGCACGTTTAATCCCGCGGCAAGCGTCACTTCTACATCTCCAGTGGACGTGCTGGAACGAATCTGTGGGAGATTACTCGCACAAAAGGACTAGCGTCTCGAGACTGCTCAAACGTCGGCCATGCACACGTCGCTTGTTTGCTCGCTCGCTCGTTCACTCGCCCGATCGTCAGTTCGCGCGACTTCCTTCCCTTCGCGGTCGATACGATTTCACCTCGCGGCATGGAACACCATTGCATTGCCGGCCAGTCCGTCGCTCGCCCACGTCGAGAGGCCGAGAGAATTTTGCCGCCGACCAAGTGCATCGCTTTGCGAGAAACGCACCCGCGCGATACAATTCGATTATCGCGGCGGAAAGCGCGCGCGCGTGTATGCGAGAGAGAGAGAGAGAGAGAGAGAGAGAGAGAGAGAGAGAACGAGTTTCAATTAAGAGCATTTCACTATTGGCTGCATCGCGAATTGCGCGGAAACTACGATCGAGTTCTCCAGCGTTCTACGATCATTGCCTGAAAGTTTGCAACACTTTTTTCAGAGAGTTTCACAACACACCCGCATCCAATAGATGAATTTCTTGTCTGATTCTATCAGACTAAAATTGGTTTCATGTAGTCTAGACCATGTATTAGAAATCGTTTTATGGAGATGGGTACCGATTTTGCTGCGATTTACTACGATAGACGTGATTAGGTTAAATTTTTGCGTAACTTTAAGCATTTTGGTGTAAAAGTGGGTGAACTCCTTAAGATCGTCTTAAGTTCATCTTTAGATGCTGTACGGGTCATTTCATTACGGAGGGTAAGACGATCTTAGGTACAAGGTAATACCATGAATAAGATCCTATGAATACTGGCCTAATGAAAAGTCTAGGAGATCAGGGATTAGAGATTGACTGATTTCAATCTTGGCTTCGTCTCTCCATTGATCACAGGTTTCAACTCCCCAATCTCTAATCCCGAATCTGACGCGGGTTTGGAAGGGTAAATTTTCCTATTGGTTACCGGATGTATTTTGCAGTGTATCGTGCGTCGAAAGGGTTGCATTCCCATACTGTACTGACTGCACATAGAGCGAATCATAATTGAGTAGTTCACGCAAAGTACTTGTGTCTTCGTGTTATCCATGGGAGAGGAGGAGGTGAGCGCGAGCTCGTCTATGAGTTCGGATGTGCCGATCAATAATTGATTTGTGCGTGGATGTGTGTACGCGAGCGAGGCGCGCGTAATGGAGTTAAGCAAATCGATAGCGTTTTGATCGCTTGGGCTGACTGCGCGATCGACTAATTAAGTCTGCGATTTCCGCTCGGGCTTGGCGGGAAGATCAATCGCAGCGAATTGCATCGCACCCGCGATTTATCAATAATTGGCTATTCAATGTGCGGAGTAAGCTTGACATAAGGAGTGAGAGAGAGAGAGAAAGAGAGTAGGAGTGAGAAATAAAAATAATTTATTTCGCTTACGCGCCTGCGCACTCCCTTACGAAAGCCTTTCTGCCAAATGAATACTTCCGGTGTAAGGGAGCTAGAGTTTGGACGTATATACAAGTGAAATAAATTAGTTTGATTTCTTACTCCTGTTCTTATTTCATTCGCTAAACTTACTCTACACGTATTGTAGACGAGTCTTAAATGGCCGTCTGCAATATGCGGAGCAAGCTTGACATAAGTTGGAATAAGAAGAAAAATTTACCTCGCTCACGCGCCTATACGCTAACTCCTTTACACCGGAAGTATTTCTCTTAAATAGAAGAAGTACTTCGGGTTGTAAGGGAGTACAGGCATGAGAGCGAGATAAATTATTTTTATTTCTTACTTCAACTTACGCCAAGTTTACTCCGCATATTGTAGACAGTCACTAAAGCTTCGTTTACAATACGTGTAGAGCAAAGTTGAGCATATTATGTAAAAGTAAAAGTAAGAGTAAGAAATAAAACTAATTAATTTTACATAAACTTTAGTTCCTTCATACCGGAAGTATTTACTTGATAGAAACACTTTTGGCGTAAGAGAGTTGGAATATAAGCTCGTAAGCGAAATAAATTATTTTTACTTCTTACTTCTGCTCTTACTCCAAGTTTACTTCGCATATTGACATAGACGAAGTCTAAAACCAAACATCGTCGCTGACGTTTCGCAAAATAATAGCTGACGTGCGGATCGCGTGCGGGCTCGTTCGTAAATTTACGAAGCTGTTTGTCCGAGAGAGCGATTGGTCGCGAAAGATCTAACCGCGGCGAATCTTTGCTTTGTAATTCTGTATCAACGGCGCGCAGGTCTACAGTCGATTTCCCGCTGAGTGTCGTGATTCCTCTTCCTCCTCCTCCTCCTTCGTCAAGAGGAGAACGTCGTACACCGAGGCTTTTAATTACAACGCGATGATCGCGCGCACGCGCATTGGCCGCGGAGGCCGACGGCGGACACTCGTCTTCGTCGTGCTCGTTAATATTTCACTTCCGGTGTGTCGCGCGGCGACGAGAGTTTTCAAGTCAGCCGTGCTGCGCAATCTAAAAATAGGATATAGATCCACGCGGACGTGTGAACCCGGGAGGAGCAGAGGGTCCTCTCCTCTCTTGCGTGCGTGTCCAATGCGTCTCGCGGTATGAATCTCGAACTCTCGCCGGGCGAGATCGCGCGCAGCGAGCAAGGGAAAGAGAAAGGCGCTGAAACGACCGAGGCGGGCCGAACGGAAACGGAACCCACTGTCGGGCATCGGGACCGTTGCTGCGCTCTCGCGCCCCATCCCGGATGATCCGCGGATACTCGCGACAGACCGCATTCCGATCTCTCCACTCTAGCGCTGATCCTGCCCGCGCGATAATACATCAAATACATGAAATTCGTGATCGAACAGTCGCTGTTTGAAACCACACGCGCCTTCTTGTGTGTAGCTTTCGACGCGACGACGAGCGAGGAAACTTAGAAGCAGAACGGGAGGTGGAGGGGACACACTAAGTGAGTGAGTGAGAGAGAGAGAGAGAGAGAGAGAGAAAGAGGAAGAGAGGAAGGACGAGTGGCGAGAGAAAATAGGAGAGACAGAAGTACGATTGGTAGGGATCACGCGCTCATGAAAGGATTGCTAAAAGGTGGTCTCCACGAGAGGGAGAGCGAGCGAGTGAGCGCGCACGCGAGGGGACAGAGGGGACGATGAGGGGGGGGGATCGGGGGATGACTAGCGAGCAGGGCGAACCGGCAATATGGCCGCTGGCGAGACGAGCGCCTCCTGGCAGCGCATTTTTCTATTCCCGCCGTGTGAAATTGCTTTTCGACTGTCGTCGAAGTCGCTTCCGAACCGGTCGGCTTCGAGAGCTCATCGATTTTCGGCTTTCGATCCGAGACACACGGTCGATGTACGCGGCGATCAGACGTCGCTCGATGCGATGTTGATACATCTAAGTAAAAAAAAAATTAAATGTGAGAACGGAGGAAAAAAAGAGGACGATGCCAGCAGAAGTTACATGCTTGTATGTGTATCTCTTTCTCCCTCTTTCACAACTATGATGATTGTTTACGCGGTATTATGTTGACAAAGCGCGTTGATAACAGAACGCGAGACAAGTTTTGACAAATGTTTGAGCGGACGATCTCCCGTGGAGATCCGATAGAAATGAAAAATTGGGCTGCTTCTGCTTGGCAGTTGAGCATTATGTTGATCAAAGATACGAGAGTTGAGGAAATCATGCTTGCACCAAAATAGAAACTACAACGATTACAAATATGTCTATGTTCGTGCACTCACATCGGAGTAAGCTTTGTATGCTAATAAACTGTTATCGCTTATGCGACATTCTGACTTTGCACTTATTTTCCTCGCGTCGTCTGCCTCTTACCTTCCTCTAACACATCCGAGGAAAACTCCCGGAAGGTCACGAGTATTTCTCCAAAAGATTCGGCTGACGGTTCGATTTCTATATTTGAGGCGATTGTTAGATCCCCCCAATTTGCAGCCAAGGTAGAGACTCATCCGAGTCGTAGATTGAGAATCAACTGACAAACGACGAGAATATCTGATTTTAGAGGTAAACAGACCAGCCGCGCATTGACAACTGCTGGTCTGCAAATCGTCACGCGTTGCGAGAGCATATTCGAGTGTTGTTGAGGAGAGTGCTGTCGGTACCCCTCGTGGCATGAGCGGCGAACCGCGGCAAATAAACTGGCGATGTGAAAAAATTCGGAGGACATTTTTCCCAAATCGGGCATAGTCAATATCGTGTTGTCGCCCGCTGAGCGATTTCGCCGAGGATGGCGCAATGCCTCCGCCGAGCGATTTGAAATGGGTCCGCGCGATCGTGTCGACGAGGAAGTCATGAAATCGAGACTACGCGACTCCTCGATCGCGAAAAACCAGCCGCGAAGTTACGAGCGCCGACGATACGTGTGCTTGACCTGCCCTCGCTCACCATTTTACCAGCCATTGTTGCCACCATTCGGGACGAAAAATTGCGGATGCGTACGAGATACGTATACAGCGGAGAATATCTGCCGCGGTAGCCGAAGACGATCGTTCGGTGTCGACGGAGACGTCGTCGCCGTCCTCGTCATCGCGACCCCGACGTCGGCTCGCCCGTCCAAGCTGCCGATTTTCTGCTGCGCGGAAGGACCGAACTTTTTTTTTGGTTAAGTACGTACACGCTCGTACGCGTCGCTTTCCCGTACGAACCCACGGCGATTTCCCGACGGAGAGGACGCGGAGGGGTGCGCGAGGTCGCGATCCGCCAGCACCAGCGTCTCCGGGCGCTCGCGATATGCGTACAAGGACGGGAACCGCGACGATGATCGACATAGCCGACGTAGCGCGACGTGGACGATCGTCGTCGGCGACGGGGCTGAGCACAGCCGGTGAACGTCGGATCGCGATTTCGCGGCGCACCCTCGCGATCCGGGCCGGCCTGGGTGGCGTATACCCTTCGCGGAAGCGTCTCTTACCTTAATGTGACAGGAATACAGAAGCTCGCTGCTAACTCGGATGTAAACACAGGCATTTTTCGACGAAACGGACACTAAGGCAGCGAAAACGACGTGCGTACGTGCGCTGCTTACATCGCGGCCGATGCCGATTCACCACGCGGGCCGAGCACTCGTTATTAAATACCGCGGTAAACACGGGAATTCACGATCTCCACGGAAAACATCAATCGAAAACTAGACATGGCAGCCATTCTTCTGTACAAAACAAAGGTTCACATCCACGGACTCGCGAGCGACAGAGCCTCGCACCCAGCTGCGCTTCGGCCAGTGGCGCCATATTCGAACATGGCGGATTCGCGCGACGCATCTTCGCGCGACGGAGCACGCCACTCCGCGTTTTTCCGCGCGGAAACGGTCGCGTCGGAATGTCTACGGCACGGTACGAAGAGACGGTGAATCGAAACGATCGTGCGATCGTGCGATTCGCGTCGAGATGACGGGCTGTTCGGCGGGTGCTCTCGTCGGCTTGAGAATCGCCGCCACTGCGCGAGCGGCGGTGTCGCGTCGATCGGGCGACAGCGCCATCTGGCGCCGAGCGTGGCAATATTACTCCGTGTGTTGCCAACGTCGGGGGCAGCGTGAACCGAGCCGAGTTGCGCCGAGCTGTGCCGAGGAGGACGCTCGGCTCAGCTCGGTGGCGCGTAAATCGAGGCGCCGTCTAACGTGCGCGCCGTTCTCTTCCCCGCGGCCGATTTTCTGGAAAGTCGCGCGATCGTTCGCCGCGAGCCGCTGTTCCACGAAAACGCTGCTCCGCGCGACACAGTCGTCGGAGGTTGCGCCGCGCTGTGGGAATCGCACATGCACGTCAAATGTGCGGAGCGTCGTCGTCGGTGAATGTATTGCTGCCGTAATGTTGGCACTATTTGCCGAGACGGCGGTCGTCGCTACCGACCGCCGAAGATTATTGATTTCCTCGCTTCGCTTCGCCGCGCGTATATATGTCTCTCGCGTAAATATCGCGAAACACCATGTGCCGGCGCGATTGAGCAGGCATCGTCTCGATCGGAAAAGCTAGGGTGAGATGATGGCTCGTATGCTCGTACGGATCGTAAGGGAGAGAGAGATCGTGATCCGGAGAAATTCCTCTCGCGCGAGAAAAGGAAAAAATACGCAGTTGCGCGAAAGCTCAAAGGGGAAGAGAATGGAATGTCGGCGGGGCAGAGAGAGATATAGAAAGAGAGAGGGGGGAAGGAGGGAGGGGGGGGGAGAGAAGAAAAACGAAATAATAGTGTGTAGCCGGGTAAAGCCTTGAGAATAAACTCACGAATGAACGGGACGTTTCGAATAATTACACGCGTCCACGGCTTTGACTTGGCCGGATAATATGCCTTGCGTGCTTCAAGTAACATTTCGCTTCCCGACGCGTTTGTTGATTTGCGAGATGCAGTACTTATCCGAAACATGTTTAATTTAACAAGTAACGAAGCGCACATATAAATGCAATACAAACGCCGAAGTAATAACGATGACCGATATGAATAGGATTAATTTCGATTGTAGAGCACTTGAGATTCTGAATTGCGTTAATTATAGAGGAGTCTCTTATTGTTCATCTTTATCTTGCGTTTGTAGAAATGGCGGACACGGATCCACAGTTCAAACGCTTTTTACTGCCAGCAGAGGAGACTCTATTTGAACAGCTGCTGAGATTTGGACTTTATGTGGGCGCAGTGTTCCAGATTATGTGTTTATTAGCCATAGTGATCTACCAGGCAGGTCCATCGGATGGTGTGGCAGCTTTGAAGGTATTTTCTGGTCCCTCTTATTGCTACAAAATCATTTCTGTACTTCTACTGCAGCAGTTAATTCTACTTGCAGGATGATCCAAGCGACGTAGAGTGTTCTGAAAATAGCCCACAAGTAACACCAAGAAGGCCTCACCGACCACGCAAGCAAGAGAAGAAAAAGAGACGTTGAAATATTCTTTGCTAAATAATCAAATGTCTACTGAATGATATTTATATCTGATAACTGTTTCGTGCAAGACTGATCTGCTGCATAATTGCTTAGTGTTGTATGTATCTGATATATATATATAAGTTATCTATTAAATGACATTTTTCCAATGTGATGTCAATTTTCTTGTTAGAATGTTATGCTGCAGTATAGCAAGTGCATTTGACTTGGAAATTTTTAAATTTATTCACCAGGTATATATTTTCAGTGGCACATTCAAAGATGCTACTCATAAATTCATTATTGAACAAACTTGAGAAGGAAAATGTTCATATATAATTATAGGAAAAAGATGCAATTTTTTTCTGTATACGAATTTTATTCCATATATGTGACCTTATGTATGACCATATCTACTTATATATGTCCATACATAAAACAAATACTGTTGAATTAAAAAAGAAAAACATGATTAAACGATATCATGGACTACTGTAAACATAAATTAAAGACAGATATATGATTTAATTATCAAATAACTTACCAAGAAGTTGGAACAATCGTAAGTTTCTTATTTGAATGGTATAATTTTTTTTAGAAAGTTTACACTGAAATAATCATCTATCTACCATAAGGTGCAAAATTACGATATTCAATATTAAATTTCTCATAAACGATGTAGATAAATCGCATGAAACTTCAATCACGAATGTGTTTTATCTTAAACCGGAAGCAACAGAACTGGACGACCGGGAGTAATAACAAGTTTGCACATATAAAACATAACCTCGTAATCGTCGGGAGTCACTGCATAAAGCAGTATCGTAATGCAAACGCATTGCATAGTATTTGTTAGAGATACGGACGCAATTGAACAATGACTAATAACTAATACGTTATTATTGACATTCGTTAAAAATGATGCATCATACGACAGTATTGCCGCCTCAGGATATCTTAGCCGAGGTTAGAAAATTCATCTCCGGTGCCGTCAGGCCTTCCCACAGTACAAACACGCAAGATGTGACGCGTACGGCGTTATTCCTATTGAAAAATGTACCGGCAGCAAGGGACGCTGTGCTCGAGTATTTTTGCAACGTGTTCTTCGTCGTAGTGACAAAATACGTTCGTCTGATTGAGGTGGATAACATACTTTGTTTACGCTCTCTTTACGGCACGATAATTATACGTTATAATTCTTCTAGACAAATCAACCTATAATAATACCAGAAGAATGTATTATAGCAGAGATTCACACTGTTCTGAGCAGTTTCATCAATGGAAATCCAGAGGCATGGGCACCTATCATATCAGCATGGTCGTTGGAATTACTTGGTATGTGTTTAATTTGTAGTTGAATAGAGTACAGTTTTTTGATATATAAAGCATGTATTATTTTATAGGAAAATTGTCGACAGATTATGCAAAACGTGGTAACTTGCCTACAAAAGCTGGCATCAATGACTTTCTACAGCAATGGATGTCATGTCGTGCAACACGAACTCTTATAGACATTACAGCACAGTGTTTACAGTGTCTTATGCATTCTGATACAGAATCTTGTATCAAGGCCTTGTTAGATACCAGTGTGCTACACAGCCCATATTTTGATTGGGTTGTTGCTCATGTGGGAAGCTGTTTTCCAAATACTGTGATTACCAGGGTATTGTCGTGTGGTCTAAAAGATTTTTGTGCTGTTGGATATGAACATAATATCAAGAATCCAAAGTTGAATTCTGTTGTTGGCATACTAGGACATTTAGCAGGTAGTCATTCCCAGGACATCAGGAGAGCTTTGTTGGATTTATTTAAGGTAAAGCTCTATCTCATACATATTGGATATGTTAGCAAATATATTCTAGATCAATTCTCAATTTATAGATATTTATAGATAATTAACAAATTCTCAATTTATAGATTAATAAGTATGTAATTTTTTTACAGTGGAGTTTAGTTGAAGATGTAAACCTTGATGAGGATACCAAGGAACAGAAGTTGGCTACAGTACCATTCCTTTTAAATTTAGCTTCGTTATCACAGACTCTCTTGAAAGCACTAACTAGTGACGTGTTACAAACATGTGAGTTTCTTTTTCTATATATACATTTAAAGTTTAATTTTAGTTAAATAATGCAGTTAATGTAAACCACAAATTATGCTGCTACAACTATGTAAATTTTTGTTACAGTGAAACCAGATGTCATACCACGTCTCGCGTTGTTTGCAGCAGATTGGTGTAAATATTTCAACAATCAACCAGAAGCGTTGATCGATTTGACAGTACATTTGACACTGGGATGTGAGCAAGGTGCACTGCAGATAATTAATTTACTATTGGATACTAGCTTAAACACAAGCAATGTTGGCTATCATAGCGTCAACGCGGCGCAAAACGTGAAAGACATTTGTCGAGAGATACTGGAGTTGATGCTGCAAGAGATCGATCTCTTACTGAGAACACACGGACCTCAGACCGCCAAAGTTGCTCTGTTGAATTCTATTAAGCAAGATATACCGTTGTTAGTGCCCATGTTGTTGAATTCCAATCCCCTACGCGTGCAGACCGCCGTTAGATTGTTATGCTTCCTCAAAAGTCAGAGCCACAACATAGTAATCTCTATGGCGGCCTACATGCTGGTGCAGGCGCAAACGACGTTTCATCTCGCTGCCTTGTTACGTCTCATCACCAACAACATCGTGTTATTTCCCGTAAACAAATCCGAAGACATCCTCACTGGTAACGGCCACTTTACACAGGTTTTGGAACAAGCACTCAGAGAGATACACTATAAAAATATTGTAGAAAAGGAGGAATTGAGACGGTTATTTCAGAATCTCACTATATTACTGAAGCAAGTATCGACCATTTAATATAATTCAAGTTAAATTTTGTAATCAAGTATATTAGATAACGATTTTTCCTCTTTTTTTTTTCATTTAGATGGGAAAAGTCGAATAAAGCGGCGATACTGCAGTCGAAGATGATCACCAGAGCGATCAGATCTAATTTGCACCAGATATCTTGTCTGTTATCGAAAACCGACGACTTTGACTTGGCGACCGACATTGTCATCCTACTCGATCTACTAAGCACACCTGAAAAGGATCAAATGCTCTACGTGGAACTTATGTTAAGATTAACGAGAGCTTTTATTCATTATTTCTTCTTATGCATCGTACAAACTGGTAATTATAGGTTTCTATGGTCTTCAAATTTCTTCAAGCGTGAGAGAGAGAAAGAGAATATAAAATATAATCAATTTATTTTTATTTTAGACATTAATATGAAGCAGCGAGGAGTGAAGATGGTATGTCACTTGCTGAGAGATCTGACGTGTTACTCCCCGTGTGCACGCGTATTGGCTCTCAGAGAAATATTAGGAAACAGTATAAATAACGAACAAGCCAAGAGCTTCGGTGCAAAAGAGAAATTTGAGCCTCGTTTCGAGGAGATGTTGCTGTTACATCAGAATCATAAACAGGTAATCTTACATTGCAATACGACGCAAGTATACCTAAAACATACGACATGCATCTTGTTCTAGATATTCTGAATAACATTGTGATTCTATTGATGTGTAAAATCTGAATGATCTCACATTTCTGCAGGTAACAAGCACTATGTTAGCGCAACGACACTCATCGGTGTTTCACGCCGGTGTGATAGGACATGGTCCACGGAGACCACCACCTGAAAATTCAGTCGATAAAGAAATCATTGCTGTGAATAAAATATTACTAATAGACGTTATAAAGGTAAAGAATCCGGTAAAGTTCTAAATGAAATCAAAGAAAAAAAGATTGTAATCTATATACTTGATTTGTCTTCAATTATATCAATTTGTCTTCAATTATATTAAACGGTTGATACTTGCTTCAACAATACAATAAGAATTTAGAGTAACTATCTCAACTTCTTCTAGTCTATGACGTTTTTTAGTGCTAAATAAGTAAGTCAGCCAATGACGTACCATGACGTTCAATTTGCATGTTTTCAGGCATGCTGCAGTAACCAAGACTCGGATCGATATCCCGTCAACTTAGACGCTCTGATGATGGTCAGTCTACTGCTGGTCGAATTGGTATCACCCGATGTTATGTACAATGGTCTTCCATGGCCCGACGAAGAATTTACCAAAGTAATTTTCATGTCTAGCACGAAGCATTTTGGCAATATTAAATTGATTATTATCCGGTAATAATGAATACGAAATATCGCAGGTGACGATCGAAAGAGATTTGCAAATCCGTCGCAAGTTCAAAGATGTACCTTTATTGTGGACACTGTTGGAACTGACCGCCTGGTACAGACCAGCATTGGCGTACAGCTCAGTCTTACTGAGAGGCATTGCTGCGACCGTCATGGCCAATTGGAACACCAAGGAAGGTGTATCGCTCGTTAATATAATGGCACTGGGACAATTGTTACCGCCGCCATTGGCGAGTATTCGGGATATTTTGCCTGTTTTGGAGCCGCACCAGGTAGTTCATTGTGTTCTAGAAGACTTTCTAGATACATCGATAATCTTAGCTGTAGTAACGAAGAATTTTGACTCTAATGTCTGATACGAGATCTTGATTCACATTTGCAGATAAATACGGTAATGAAAGAATGTGTATGGGCATACATGCGTGAACATGTGCCATCTCCAGCGTTGTTTACCCGAACTGATGGCGCTAATATAGCTTGGAGGGACATTGATACTTCAGCACCCAACGCACGCTTCACGGATACTCTTCGTTTAGTGCTGCTAGCGAATATACATACTTTAGGATCTTTGTACTCAATGTTATTTTATAATGAAAACAAGTAGCATAAATATACGTTACATCCTGAATAAAATTTATATTGATTTTGACTTGTATATAATAATAATCAGAACTGTAATAATAATATAATAATAATTAGACAGTAATAAAACTATTATCAGAAATATACTGCATATATATATCTCGCTTTCCTTTTTAAATATTATTTATATATATATACTTTTTAGATCATATTTTACTGACTTACCATTGATACCATTATTCTGACGACATTTTCGTTGTCATGCAGATCTCTGATCGCGTAAAGAGGACAAATAACGTTTTAAATTTAAATATGTATTATACTTTATTGGTTTTGCACATACCTTTGAACATCACGTTTAACAGAGCAGTCGCTTTCTGCAAAAATGTAAAACCTTGATATTGAATCGAACTAAGATGACGTATGATCGATACAAAATATTAAAACGTTTCATTTTATGAGAAAAACATGATGTTTTATAACATTATATATATATATATATATATATATATATATATATATATATATAATGTTACAAAAATATATATATGTATTACTCCACCAAGATTATATAAATATTAAGGTTAAATATTTTCGCAGATTTCATATTGAACAGCATTAACAGTAAGTACATTTGGACACTCAATGTTCTCCTCTGTTTTACATTGATACTTTATAATAATACTTATATTTCACGAATCTTCTTTCTCTCTTATAACAATCTTACATATCCTAAGTATAAAGTAGAAAATGACAATCACACTGTATAAAATAGGAAGTAATCTTTACTAGTTTCTTGTATACAATTATTCTTTAGATATATAACGTATTACACATAACGTATGGATCTTTTCTTTTTTTACGATATATTCAATCATCGTACAATTCCCCGTTGTAATTCCTCATACTTAGCCGTTATCTGCCCGCATATGGAATTAAAAATCTGATCTACGATCCTCAAACGCAAATATCGCTCGAGTGAGTAGAACCATAGCGTGTGACAAAATGCCGACAGAATCTATGGGGAGGGATGAAACAAGGAAGACGAAAAAAAAAAAGTAGATTTTAATTTTTATAAAAGCACATTCTCTCCTAGATACATATTATAAGAAACATATTAATTTACTTTGTTATCATTATATCAATACAGGAATGACGGTGCCTAAGATGAACGAACGCTGTTCGGATTGCTGCACGAATTACCCTAGGTGGGTGTCTCGTCCTGACAAATGACTACGCCAACGTTTTAATTCATACGAACGTCGCGATCTTACTCGCGCGCCGTTGAGTCTTCATGTGGCTCTGTGCGTCCCGCAGAGCCAGAAACGCTAGTAAAAAATGATGAAAATATTCAGTTACTTTCTTACTATATGTACACTGCTCGTTGTATGAGATACAACATGTTGCACGCAAGTACGAAGTATTTCGCGGGATATCTTCCGTATTTGCATTCACGAGCATTTCAATGTTACGTCCAAGTTCTTTCTCTTTCTCACTCCTCCTCTTTATACTTTGTCAGTGTATCTATTCCTTAAAGGTCGATATATCTTCACGTATCGTTCGACGTAACGTAGAATTCTTAAAGTTTAATGTAAAAATAAACGGTACGCTCTCTTCTTTAACGTATAAACAAAAGTTTTCACTCATAAGTGCAATATAAAACAAGTATCATTTTCCAGGGGCAGATTTTAAAGTATGTCGTGTCAACGGTCACATTGACAGATTCCGCGTAAGGAAGGCGCACACAAGAGCCTTTTGTTCCTTCTGGAAAGTATCACTGTATAATTTTTCTTGAGCAGAGTATCATCGACAACGGTATCAATAGTAAGTCAGTGAAATATATGTGAGTGTATGTGTATGTTTGTGACTTTATATGTATAACGCGGGGACCCTTCAGCTGGCGTACCGGTGCGTGTGTCTATCATCTCGCTGTGTATGCTTGACACACACACGCACGCATGCTGTCAACTCGACTTACTTTACAATAAATTATTATTCAGTTCTTTTTAGAATTAAAAAAGTTCACTTTTCAAGTCTATACGTGGATTAAGTTTAGAAGAGTAACGTGCTCATGCCACCCATTTCACTTTGCTCCTTAACGAAGATCTCGAAGTACTGGTATATGATTGTGACAGCGAGTAAGATACCGGTACCGGAGCCGATCGCGCCCAAGAAATCCGCCAATACAGAGAGTGCGCCGATACATAGTCCACCGAACGCCGCGGCAGTCGGGATGTAACGGTTCAGCTCGCGGATCATGGAATTATCCCTGTGGCCTCGCATCACCATCTGCTGTTCCCTCAGTTGTTTGGCGACCTGCAAATTTAACGATGCGCATCGTGAACACATTTCCATGCTATTGTCTGTGTTGCAATGTGTCTCTTGGCTATACTGACATCCTTCGCCGAGCTTCCGGAAACTTCGATCCACGTCTTTGAGAAGAAGGCGCACGAGCCAAGCATAAAGAGAATGTACAGCACAGCATGGACGGGATCTTGAACGATGTGACCGACCGATTCCGGTGGTGATAAATAGTAACATAATCCGCCGACTGGATATGATCTGGCTGGACCGCCACCGCCGACGTCTGACCAAACGCCCAACAGATTTACTATGAGATTGCCTTGAAACTTGACGGCGAGCATCTGAGAGATAACATATAGATTGGACACCAAAGCCGACTGGAAGATAATCGGGATGTTGCTGGTGTAGAACAGCTTGATCGGATAGCTGCTATACTGGCCGCGGTATCTAGCGGACTTGATCGGAAGATCCACACGGAAGCCCTAAGAATAAATAAGAAGTTTATTAGATATTAGAGAAACTTTTGCGATACAAGTGTTTCATTTGATAGCTTTGCGTGAATTTTCTTTTAATGTACATCGGCAACTTACCTGGAAGTAGATAACGATAGCAAACACCAGAATAGTAGCGAGAAGATTCATTAGATTCGGAAGATTTTGCCTGTAGAACGCCTCACGGAGAGCTCGGACCTTGTCTTGTCTGGTGGCCAGTAAATGGAACAGAGCGATTATGGCTCCTTCAAATTCTGTACCACGACCTATTAAAGTAGAAGAAAGTTTAGTTGACGGTCATACAATCTCAAAGTTCACATACAGATACACAAATGTATGAAAAATATATTTTATAACATTTTTTAAAATAACAGAAAATATACCAGTATTGACTGTGGCTGGCGAAAACGCTTTCCAAACTATGGTCTCGCAGATATTGGTGGCAATGAAGAGCGATATTCCACTTCCTAATCCATATCCTTTTTGCAACAGCTCGTCCAATAGCAATACGATGAGTCCAGCGACGAACAATTGGATAATAATTAGGAGACAAACGCCAGCTCCGATTTCCGTAGGATCTCCATACATCCCAGTCATTACATAAACAATAGCTTGTCCGACAGTGATAACCATACCAAACACTGTGTAAAGATTATTATACTTTACATCAATTGGATTTTGATAAAAGTATGCCCTTCTTGGCTATGTAACCTGAAGGAAAATATACTGATAAAAATCAGTAGAAATCACTCACACTTCTGTGCTCCATTGAATAACGCTCTATCTTTTGGAGTATCACCAACTTCAATGATCTTTGCGCGATCTAACAGTTGCATGATAAGACCAGAAGTAACGATTGGAGAGATACCCAATTCCATCAATGTTCCTCTATTCGATGCGAGTATCACACGAATCCAATAGAAGGGATCCGCACTGTCCGAAGACATAATACCGAATAATGGAATCTACAAATAGAATCATATATTTGTGATCATGTTCTCTAGTCATTTATAAATTAATGAATTAATTTTTCAACTGAACTTTTCAACTTCAGGACTGTTTTAGATTAACAATATTGTTTATTGACTCACCTGGCAACATACTAAGAAAATAAATAATGTGATTGCAGTCCATAGCATCTTTTCTCTAAACTGAATCTGCAAAGGAATAATAATTATAGTAAGTTTATATTAAAGGGCGATCTGTCACATAAATAGAAAGTAATTCTGTACATTGTATCAGAATTGTCTCATTGACAGATGGTAAGAAATGTCTCATTGTGCCCGAGGCTGACGCGTACGCGAGGTAATTGTGGAATTTAGGAAAAGCGGTACACGAAACTGTAAATACAAGAGAGAGACAGAAATAGATCATACAAACGGTGGAGCCTTACCTTTCTCTGCGGCTTCGCTATTTCCGGCAGTATACTGCAGAATGGCTTGATCACTTCGAGAAACTTGACTGAAAGCAAAGAAGATAAGATGTTTTAGCGCATCTGGAAGCGTAGGGCTCGCGCGGAGACGCGCGTACACGTGGTAATTCGCCTCGCCAACAATATGTTGTGGATTCGCGAGAGGTTACGCGTGCGAGCGAGAACTTTCCGGCGCGTACGTTGCGACCACATCGCGAATATCGCGTTTTATTTGCGCTCGCGGCCAACGGGTATACTCACATCCCATCTTCGCTGTGTTGATGCGACTTTCCTGAGAGCACTGCGGAACGAGTGACGTTCCTTCACAAGATTCCCGAGAATAAACACCACACCGTCAGGCCGAGCAGCCTCTCACTCAGCAAGTGCACACGAACGAAGGTGGCCGCGTATGCTCGACTGGCAAAGTGTAGCGAGTCGTGGCTCACCCCGTCGACACGTATCAATACGCCACTGTCACGTGACCTGATGATGTTGGCCGGCACGCCACGCTCGTATTGTTGCCTTGGGCGTTAGATGGCACGGCGCTCGATCGGTCGGTAAGTACAGTGCGTCAGCTGTTCGCGATCTGACGCTTGTCAAACTCTTCAAGTGCGCGCTTGTTCTCAGGCATCAACGTACGGCGGGTTATCATATGCACAGGGGTAATGTTATTCAACATTAAATCTGAAACATATACCGGGACGAATAGTGCCAAATTATCCATTCTAAATCATAGATTCTCTATCTTTCCGGAAACTATGACTTTAATACTATAACTTTAATATTGAATTTAAAGTCTTCTAATTACTTGGTCATCTTAATTTATGACGTCAGAAGTGAGGAAACGCTTACTCAAAATTCTTGCATCGAAATAAAAATATATCCAAAAAATGTTACATTAATTTTATTTATTTATTTATTTATTTATTAGAAAAAGATTATTGATTCTTAAAAAAGGAAAGGAATATTTTAGAGTTGTGCTTAATTGATTCCAAGTATCACATATCATTTTGTAAATATACCATTTTATTTCAACATGTTTTGCAAGAGTTGTATTTTCTCGCTTCTAACATCATAAATCAAAATGACTGTGGCGAAAGACCAAGGCTCGATTTTATCAACGTTCCCAGATAGCACAGAGAATTCAAAAAGAATTCAGTCGTACATCACCAATTCTGAGTTCATTTTTAGATACAAAAAGAATCCTTTTCACTGAACTGAACTTTGAGGGATTCTTTTTGCATATGAAAATAAGCTCAGAATCGGTGACATACGAATTCTTTTTGAATTCTTTTCGAATTCTCTGTGCTATCTGAGAACGTTAATAAAACCGAGACGTTGGTCTTTCGCCATAGTCATCTGGGTTATTTTTTGGTTTTAAGTAAGATTTAAATATATATCTGTCTCTATTCCGTCTCAGGAAGAAAGATAGACACATGTTTAAGTCTCGCTTAAAATCAAAATAATGTTGGCGCAATCAAGCTTTAAATCTATTGTAGACCGGGACTTATCGGAGTTACCGCGAAGTGTAAATTGTGTAAATTGTCTCTTTCTTATTCACATGATTGAATATCGGTGCATTTTAGTCAAGAGCTCATATTTCATGTAGGAAAACGCACGATCTATCCGACAAATGGTTTGTTCCAACTGATTAATTTGTCATTTCTATTATCTTCGCGCCGTTTATGTAGTCGTATATCTCAAACAGTACACAATATTTACAAAATATTTTAGAAATATCCCAGCAAACAAGATGACGTCAAATGACGTCTTAATGACGTATTATTGACGTTAGAGACGTCAATAATACGTCATTAGGACATCATTTGACGTCATTTTGTTTGCTGGGATCTATATTTCTAAAATATTGTGTGAATATTGTGTACTGTCTGGGATGTTTGCAACTATGCAGTATCGTATATGTATTTATGAATGCACGGAAGAAACAGTTCCGTTAGTTGATCGAATTTTCTATTATCTGGGAATAAGATAAAAAGAACTTGTAGGAGCAGAAAGAATATTGTAGGATATTTGTACAATTGCTCTCAGTATCTCAACTGAGTTTTAATACAATTGAATGTTTAGACGAATATTTTCGGTAACAGAATTATTATTTCTTGTCAGAATTTTTCGTCTAATCCTCATTCAGTTGCACGAACTGGAATTTATTTTCCGTGTGTATGTGTGTTCTCTCTGTACTTTCTTATACATTTTATTTCCTTATCACAAATCTCACAAGCCATTGGCATGTTATTTAATTGCTCTACGCTTTGCAAATCCTTTTTTTATAATTTTCTTTCGTTAAGTCTTATCTGAATATATTTTTTCTTGCATTTTCTATGAGTCAAAATCTAACAATACTTTACAGTTTTAACTGTAAACTTGGCGCGGTATGTCGACTTTTGCATGTACCTAGCCACAAATGACTCATTGGTCGAAACCGTCAAATTGATGTCATCAGTCGACGAGTTATTTCTCGCTGGGTAAGCTAGCTAAAATGTTATCTCTTATCTCTTAATTAAGTACAAAAAATATCTTAGACAAATGCGCTCATACAGCACAAATCCTAGAGACGTTTCAAAGATATTTCTAGAACGTATCTGGAATGTATTTTGAACATTTGTACTGTATGAGTTGCTTGTTTCATAGAAGATCATTTAACGGTGATTTTATAAGTGAAGCAACGTTCATATTTCTCTTTATACCTCCTCCGAATAATGAGGTCGAGGTATATACTTGCCTATAAACATATGGGACAATCCCAAGTAGAACAAAAAGTCATATAAAAGTCAAAACGATGTAAGTCAAATGATATAAAAGTAATGTCATTTTGACGTCAAATGGTACTATTTTCATGACAATTTCATGACATTGATGTCAAAATGATCTTGACATCAAAATGATTTTGTGTTCTACCTAGGAATTCAATTCGCAGATAGCACAGAGAATTAAAAAAAATTTAGTCATATGTAATTTTGATTTTATTTTTAGGTGCAAAAAAAATTCTTTTCACTGAACTCTAAAGAATTCTTTTTGCATCTGAAAATGAACTCAGAATTGGTGATATACGACTGAATTCTTTTTGAATTTTTTTTTAATTCTCTGTGCTACCTGAGTTATATTCGTTAAAATATTTACGGACATATTTCGTTCTGTTAGTCGTTCCGTAACTATGTTACTACGTTAAATAATTGTGCAATATGTTTGCTGTGACAAATTATCGTCTTATAGATCCCCATAATCTCTCTCCCTTTCTTGTTCCATAATGAAACGTGGAAGTTTCGACTGGTCAAGGTAGGGGAGGCCGTATATAAGAATCACCTGCATTTAAGTTTTATTCCTTCCTTTCAGTTTGACAAAAAGTCTTCCTGATAAATAGTGATTTTTTCGCATTATACGTTACATTTTTGAATATATTTCGGATTATATATACTAAATTGTGAGACGCGTAATTTGCACATCGTTGGTATGAATTCTCGTTGCTCTCGTCTACACCAGATAAGTGAGTGAAAGGATATCCTTCTTGTGGCCCAACGAGCTACATGTGTATGTTACGCTAAAAAGAACTAAAGGAGTCAGTGCTGACAGTGCGGCGTGTATTATGTAATATTTCTTTTGGTGTCGACATGGCAATTGAACGAGACGAATTAACTGTTTTTGTACGTATTATAACGATAAATTAGGCGAATAGAAAGCAAGAAAGAGAGTAAGCAAGAGAAACGCGATTATAATTATCAAAAGATGACCGTGGCTTATTTTAATATCGATAATCAGTATCGGGAAATATTTACATCGCTATAGCAATGTAAATGTCTTTCATGTGTCCACATAGCATCAAGGTGTTATTATTACTAGGAAAAGGTTACAATACTTATAAACCTTTTATATGAGAATACAACGTTGTATTAATTTTCTTTAGCAGCAAGCAGTACGTTAATACTACTAAGCCATCAACTTAAGATAATAAAGGAATTATATTTTGATCGATTTTGAAATAATATTAATTTAACTATAAGGCGACTTTGTATCAACCAAGAGAACTTTGTATCAATATTTGGATTTGATGTTAATTGAAAGTCCTTGAAAGTAACATTTTAAAATCATAATAACGTCATGACCATATCTTTGACAACATAATTAAAAGCTTCTTAAGCTTTTGTTATGTGTGGAGTACGAACATCTATACGTGAAAAAACAATTTCGTTAGTTATTAGTTATTAAGCGCGGTTAGTTAGTTCTTATAAATTATAATTAAATTTTTCATTGTTTAGTAAGAATAAGGATCAGATGAAAAATTCAGTCGTAAAAAAACACTTTTAGAAGAGAAAGATTCCTGAATGAGGCTTTTACTCAATCAAGTTATTGCAACCAAGTTTAGTACAGCTGAATATTCAGATAAATGTTTTAGATATAATGGCAATATCATTTTTTATCGCCGAATTTTCATCTGATTCTATTCGATTGCACGAACTGAGATTTTTCCCGTGTACTAATGGGATATTTGTAAACTTTAACACGATATATCAGAAAAATCCACATACCACGCTTGTAATTGTCGATTGCGATAGTATCCGTGGAAGGTGTACAAGTACATAAAAGATTCTTATTTTTATTTGAAAGAAATATAATCTCACGTTCTCTATTTTTTTTTCATGGGTGTTTTTATTTCCCAGATAACACACACATATCAGAAACGTTTCTTAACCGTATCTATAGTTTCAGAACCGTAAAGCACCAACAAGAAACGTTTTAACAAGAACCTTTCTGAAACTTTATTTATGAAACGTTTATAAAACGTTTCTTCAACAATTTTTTTCGCCAAAATAATGTCTTACCTAACGTTTTTTGAGTGGACATTTTTACTTATGAGAAACGTTTCAGAAACGTTTATGAAACGTTTTGGAAACGTTTTGGTTATGAAACGTTTGGTTCTAACGTTTATAAAACATTTCTAAAACTTGTGTGTGCTACCTGGGTTATATCTTGTTTCTTTTACATTTCTTTTAGACATCTTAAAAAAAAACATCTTTTAATCCTTTGTGATTAAATTCTAAATTTTGTTGGAAATTCTTCACACGCAAAACATAATCCGAGTAGTATTTCTTGCTTGTGAGATAACACGCAGATTATCGTCGTGCTTATCAGACATCCCTCGTCTTCTGCTGATTATCATCATCGTCGGTATAATTGATGGTGTTACCATACAAACACAAGTAATTCGCTCATCCACGCGGCTCAATGATTCCATTCGTTCGAATCCGTTCCTCTCGAACACTTCTACTCTTGAACTTCCGCCGTTTTCTCAGTGATACTCTCACATCTTTTAACTGAACTGATCTGAATCGCAATCATATTTTAGTTTCGAGCGATAGAACACGCTTCTCCACATAATGGCAATAAAAATATCGTTTTGTGACAATTCACTCCGTAAATCACGCAATG